CAATAACCAGCACTCCCTCTCCTCCCCATTTTTATGAATGCTAATGTTGCCTTTTCTTTTTGCTGGTGGCCATCCTAACAGCTGCGAAGCTTTAACTCCTTGGGGCGGAGTTTGCAGGCCCCAAAAGCTTGGGGATCTGGGGGTGCTGAGTTGTTTGTCATGGGCTTCCTGGTCTTCTCAGGACCGAGGGCTACTCCAGTCCAGTCCTCTGCAAATCTCTTCACTGGTCTGTGGGCCTTTCTTTGCTGAGCTGCAGGGATCTTTGCCTGCCTTGGCCATGGGCCGCACCTTATCAGGAGGCGACTTGCAGCTGGGGGTCGTGTGTGCTTTGTCTTCTCATCAGACAGGTCTCGTTTGTAGAGAAAGATGTCACCAGGGGCCCTGCCTGAAGTCACCACCGTGGAGGCGTCTGTCCCTCTTTCCTCCATCTGGATGGAGCAGCTCCCTAGGGGAGCTCCAGACTCCAGCTCCTCTGTGGGCTTCCAGGCAGCACCGGGGCAGCTCGTGGCTTCGCCCCTCCAGTCAGGCCCTCAATGGGCTTCACACCCAGGCCATTCTGCCTCTGCACCGCCGCTTCCCCCACACGGACCCCATGGACATGGGGTGAGGCCTCAACTTCCCTCTATCACACTGGAAGCATGTCGATGTTTTACCTGAAGAGTCCTCTTTTGCTTTGTGATTATAAAAGAGCTATAAACTCATGGTGGAAAATTTGGATTAGTCAAAATGTTTAAAAGGAAAATCAAGACCCTCATAAAGCACCCTGCCCTGACACATACTCATGCTTCCCCAATGGCTCTGCTATTAGGGAAGGAAGGAGAAGGACGTAGGCGAGGACAGGACCTTCTCTGCGCTGGGGCAGGCAGTCTGGGGCTTTGAGGCAGGCCCTCGGCCTGCACTCACAGGCCTCTGCTGGCCCCATCCCCACGTGAGGGACAGGCGACCGCTGACACCACCCACTGCCAGCAGTTAGGCACCAGACCCAGTTTTATGTAAATTAATGGTTCTGTGGAAGAGGGGAGAGGACAGAGAAGAAACTGGTTTTGCCCACACCCCACACTTAGCTCTAGGCCAAAACTCAGAAAAGCACCCAAGACAAGCAGCACCCGGAGCTCCGGCCTCTTCTGGCTACACTCACCTCACAGCTGGGGGAGGGCTCCCCGTGAGGAGGTGAGGCTGGGGACCTGGCCCCCACCAGTACCCTGTGGTCAGCACATGCACACAGCCAGTGGCACAGGGCAAGGGGGGGCTGAGAAGGGGGGAGGGGTAGCGTTGGGGAGAGGGGACCTTGACGGCCCCACACTGCTCCGGGAGGAACATGCGAAAGGTGCCTGCAGCTGCTCCACCAGGCTGAGCTGCTCCACCAGGCTGAGCTGCTCCACCAGGCTGAGCTGCTCCACCAGGCTGAGCTGCTCTTCCAGCTGCAGCTGCTCCACCAGGCTGAGCTGCTCAGATGCTCTTGCAAATGCAGTTCAGCTCAGCCCTCATGTTCACACCTGGGATTCCAGGAAAGAAAAGCTGGGCCATCAGGAACCCCTCTGTCATCTGGTGCATGGCTGCTCCGGCAGAAGGGCTGCTGAGGCTGGCTCTCAGTCAAGCCCTGGAAGGTCTCTCTTCGGTCCGGGGCACCCCCAGACTCTCCATCGGTACCCCCCAACCCCAGCCCACATGCCCTTCTGCCCTGGACCCAGGGCCTCTCTCGCCTGTCATTGGGTCTTTTGCTTTCCCTGCACCTCCTACCTTACCGCCCCCCCCCTCCTCCGAGCACCCCGGGCCAGGAATCCCTACTGGAGCTCGGGAGCTCTCAGAGCTCGCCTTCCGCTACTCCTCTCCCAGGGAGGGGTCTTCTCCGTGTGCTTCTCTGTGTCCCTCTCTTTTTTTTTTTTTAAAGATTTATTTATTTATGCATACAGAGCTGGGGTACAGGCCAGAGGTGCAGGGGCGGTGAGAGGCTTCATCAGAGACAGAGTGGGGAGCAGAATAGGCAGATCAGTGAAGTTCACTGCTGAGGGAGCAGCGGGCGGGTCAGGAGAGGTCTGCTGTGTCCTGTGGGTCAGCTCCGGGGCGGGGGATGGAACTCGTGCTGCGGTGGCTTCAGAGAGCTTCATAAGGCGGGGCTTTAGCCCCTTGGACCACCAGGGAGGGCCCTTAAGACACTTTCAAAGGAGCATGTGCGTCTCACCCCCCGACGGTCAGTGAGGTACCAGCTAGCTGAGGACAGCCCCGGGCCCCTCATCAAGCCCAGGCCCCCACCAGAGCTTCACCACTATGGCGGCCACAGAGTTGGCGAGGATGGGGGCACCACGGGGTGGAGCAGACACAGTGCACAGGGGCTCACCTCTGTCCTCCTGACTAGTGGAGGGCAGCTGCCCGGGGCCCCCAGCCCCTCCACCTCAGGACTCCATCCCTCATACCACGAAGGCACAGGCCAGGGCCACACATCACAGAAGACTGGGTGCAGAAGGACAGACCCCTCCTGACAGCCCGGTAAGTCAGTGCCAAGGAAGCTGGCGATGCCAATCCAGCCTGAGCTACGTACAAAGCGCCATCGCTGGAGGGCTCACTGGCAGGCCCCCCAGACTGCCCAAAGCACTGCTCCCCACTCACTCACCAGCCCTTCAGTTGGGCCCTCCAGCTCAGGACAAAAGGCCTGGAGCATGAGGAGACAGTGGAGCCAGAAAGGGGAGGAGCAGCTTCTGACGGGGGAGGGGAGCCCGGCCGGGGTGGGGGGAGATTTCTCCCGTCACGTTTTAGACTATGAATGATCACTGACCACAGGTAAGATTCAGCCACTCAGCAAGCTTCCTTCCACCCGGGGTTCAGGGTGCTCTGGCCAGGGGAGTGGACCCCAGGGTCAAAGCCAGAAGACCACGCGGCCTCCACGGGCCCTCCCAGCACTCTGCAGGTGAGCCCCCCCACCTCACCCCCCACCCCGCCAGCAGAGGCTGAGCCCAAGTCCATCCCACACGGAGTCATATTTAGAGACGCCTACTCGAGGCGAAATCAGAAGCAGCGTGAGCTCAGCTGTGACCATTCTGGGCCAGAAACACCCAGAGGGTGTTGGTGAGCAAGGTTCACCCAGGAGTTAAGTGGGTACCACTGCAGTTGCGCCCCCAGAGACTTTTTTACTCAGATCCTTGTTCTCTCCTCGATCTCTTGCGCCTTCAACCCAGGGGGTGAAGTTAACAAGGAGGAGGCCCCTGGGCTGGAACCTGGGGAAGAAGCTGCTTGCAGAGTGCGTAGTCAGCTTGCCAGTGTTGCCCGAACCCTGGAGCACACGGAGGTGTGCACGTGTTCCCGGCTCCCTGGGCACAGAGACTCTGCGACTGTTTCAGACACGTTGCTGACCATCGATTGTTCCAGTGCATGTATCCCACAGGCTGTTGAAAAGAACATCACTGGGGCCTCCCTGTGTACCCCTCAGCAGTGTACTTCGTCAGTAGGCCTGTTCTGCTCCCCACTCTGTCTCTGGTGAAGCCTCTCTCTCACTGCCCCTGCACCTCTGGCCTGTACCCCAGTTCTGTATGCACAAATAAATAAATCTTTAAAAAGAAAAGAAAAGAAAGTCACTGAGCTGCAGAGGCTCGGGTCCAGGCAGAGCCAAACTCCACGTGTAGACAACAGGGAGACAGCCCACACTTGCCTTGAGCCACCTATGGAGTCGCTATTTGTACCCATGTGCCTGCAAAACCAGGGAACACTTTCAACTCTGCCACTTGCCCATGGGAAGAGTCTGCCCAAGGTGCTGGCCTCAGCGGCAAGGACAATGACAAAGAGCCAAGCTGCCATGGAGGACAGTGGGGTCTGGTGAGGTCTTTCTATCCCTCATGGACCTCCCTCTGACCATCGGGACACCGGCTCTACTCGGTGAGGGCTCTTGACCTCATTTAACCTTACTGCATCCTTCAAGGCCCATCTCCAGACCATTCACCTTGGGGTGAGGGCTTCAACATATGAATTGGGGGGCCACAGCTCGGTCCCGAACAGGCAGCATGTCCAAAAGCCCACCACTGCTTACAGCCAAGACGAAACCCGAAGGTATCCTCTTTCGCAACATAAGAAATGACCTTTATTTAAAAGTTAACGCCTTTCCAAACTTGGGCGGTCAACATGGCTTTTTGTTTAAGTTTTCCTCAGTGGTCAGCTTTACATTTTAATATCTGTATATGCCGCGTTCCGATCACCACCGAGAGTCCAGTCTCTAATTCCCTCCAAATAACACACACCCTTTAGCTTTTCCGCCGCCTCCTCCCTGCTTCATTTGGTAACTACCATTTTGTTGTCAGAGCATAAGGGTTTGTTTTCATTTTGTTCTTTTTCTCTGTTTCTTTATATGGCACATGTATAAGGGAAACCATAGTGTTTGTCTCTCTCCACCCAACTTATTTCACTTAGCATGGTCCCCACTGGGTCCATCCAAGTTGCTGCAAAGGGCAAGGTTTTGTCTTTTGGGGGGCATACCACACCTTCTTTACCCCGTCATCAATCATTGGGCATTGAGGTCATTTCCGTACCTAGGCTATTGTGTGTATTGGGGTGCATATTTTTCAAGTGAGTGTTTTCATGTTCTTTAGATAAATACCCAGAAATGGAATAGCTGGATCCTACAATACTTCTAATGCTAATTTATACATATTTTTCTCCATAGTGACTGCACCGATTTACACCAACAGTGTTCAAGACACCCAAAGTTGTCTTAACCCAGAGACAGGGTGGGGAGATGACTAGCTGGCATTGCTAACCCAGCACCTGCTGGCAGGGAGACAGTTTCACATCAGTGCGCTCTGACCCAATGAAAAAGGAAATGGCACAGCACAGAGGAGCCAGTCAGCTCGCGGCCTATCCAGATGGCACCAGGCGAAGTGGCTCATCTACGGTCACGCTACACAAATGCCCTTTGGTTTCACCACCATGTTCCCTAAGTAGAGTGGTTTCCATTGCCCAGAGAGCCAGCATTTCATTCTGTCTCTCTTTTCTTTTTTCTAAACCACCAGCTAATGTCCTGGAGGGCGACTCCATGGATCAAGATGTGGAGAGTCCTGTGGCCATTCACCAGCCAAAGTTGCCTAAGCAGGCGCGGGATGACCTGCCCAGACACATCAGCCGAGACCGGACCAAAAGGAAAATGCAGAGGTACGTGCGGAAAGACGGCAAGTGCAACGTGCACCATGGCAACGTGAGGGAGACCTACCGCTACCTGACCGACATCTTCACCACCCTCGTGGACCTCAAGTGGCGGTTCAACCTGCTGATTTTCGTCATGGTTTACACGGTGACGTGGCTCTTTTTTGGGATGATCTGGTGGTTGATTGCATACATCCGAGGAGACATGGACCACATAGAGGACCCCTCATGGACGCCCTGCGTCACCAACCTCAACGGGTTTGTCTCCGCTTTTCTATTCTCCATAGAGACAGAAACCACCATCGGTTACGGCTACCGGGTCATCACGGACAAGTGCCCCGAAGGAATTATTCTCCTCTTAATCCAGTCTGTGTTGGGTTCCATTGTCAATGCGTTCATGGTGGGATGCATGTTTGTAAAAATATCGCAGCCCAAGAAGAGGGCAGAGACCCTGGTCTTTTCCACGCACGCAGTGATCTCCATGCGGGACGGGAAACTGTGTCTGATGTTCCGCGTAGGGGACCTAAGGAACTCCCACATCGTGGAGGCGTCTATCAGAGCCAAGCTGATCAAATCCAAACAGACTTCAGAGGGGGAGTTCATCCCTTTGAACCAGACAGATATCAACGTGGGCTATTACACCGGGGACGACCGTCTGTTTCTGGTGTCACCGCTCATCATCAGCCATGAGATTAACCAACAGAGCCCTTTCTGGGAGATCTCCAAAGCCCAGCTGCCCAAAGAGGAACTGGAGATTGTGGTGATCCTGGAAGGGATGGTGGAAGCTACAGGTAAGGCTGTTCCCACCTGGGACGTGGGTGCTGGATGTGGCAGTCACTGCGACATCTGCCTCTTGCTGGATGAAGTAGTTGGTCTGTGTGTCCTGTCAGTCTAAGTACCTTGCCCGTAAGTCTAACCACACAGCTCTTCAAAAGCCCTTTGGGAAATTAACTAGCAAGCAAATTTTTTTCAAACTCCCACTTAGAAGATTTGAAATTTCCAAGTATTTACTTGAAATTTGATCTGTCTCTAAAGAAACATGTAAGTGATTTTAAAGCCTGGGTTCATCTAACTCCTTGAGGTCACTTATCGTCCAGCCCGGAGGAAGAAGGGAAGCTTTTTAGGGGAACCCTGACAAACGGCTTCACTAAAAATGCAGTTTTACCCCTTCTTTGGGGACACTGACAAGGCCCATGGCATTGGCTTCCTTTTCTGTCACAGGCGCCCCTGGGGGCTCCTGCACGTTCTCCCTGGCGCACCCCCTTGGGCTGCCTGCTGCAGGCCCAGCTGGTAGCTTCCCGCAGGAGAGGGGAAATGCACAGGCTCCATTCATCACAAGCCCCTGACCCTCTGCTGTCCACAACTAATCATCGGTGTCTTGGGGAGGAAGATCTCTTCTCAAAATACAGAAAATGAGGTCTTTCTTGAGTTTCCCTTGTATCTGGCCATTCCGGGAGTTACACATCCCAACAGCAAAGCAGATCTGACCCATATTTACCTGAAACTCCCACAGCCTGGGGCCAGACACTCTGACTGATGGTAGTAAACAGGAAAGGTGTGAACTAGAGCCCTGGGGGCGGGTTCCTTCACTGCTGTTCTGTGTTGTCTATTGGCCTGGGGCCCCTCCCAGGGAGGCTGTCGGCCCTCCTGAGCTTGGAGGTCTTGACGGGGCCTGAAATGCAGGCCGGGGCCCCAGGCCTGCCCCAGGCTCTTCATCAGCCCTGACGCGTGCATTGGCAAACGGAAGGCGGTCACTGCCTGTCTCTGCCTGCCCCAACCTCCAGTCCATTTCTCTTCTGGCGCTGCAGTGGGATTTAAGCGCGCGAACAGGGGAACTGTGAGAGAAGGGCTTTGCCGGCCGCTCAGCGATGCGAAGGTCTCTGTTTCATGAACTGAGTCCAAAAATAGAGCTTGTAGGAGTAACAGGATGATTACTGTGACGTGGTGAATAGGTGCTGTGCATGGGAACAGGGCTTCTGTTTTGTGTCTGGCTTGTGGGTGTGCCCGGGAGGCAGGAGCTGGGGGTGGGGGGGTAGTGGGCACCGGGGAGGGAATGATTCAAACAGGGAGTTCGCACCTTCCGCAGCCCAGAACTTCGCCCACCTGGGCTGAGCACAGGGGCTCTGGAGCCCCCTAGTGACGAGCGCCGGAGACGGCACGTGGACGACAAGAGCTGGTCTCTGTGTTAAGCGTCTCGCTCCGCCCTCTCGCAGTAAGACTCGGGTGGAGCAGTAAGACTCGGGTGGAGCCTAGGCAAGTCTGCTCTGTTGTCTCTGCGCTCCAAAGCCACCGGGGTGTACCCTTTGGTACCCGGTGGTCACCTGCGCTTCAGATTGCCCGGGCTAAGCTTCTGTTCCTGCTGCCCAATCCTGACACCAAAGAATGGCAGTTGGCAGCCTGTCTTTGTGGTGTCGGGGAACCCTCCCTGGGGTAGACTCTGTCTTTCTGATGACGGCTTGTAAGGAGGGAGGCTTTGCAAAGGGAGGAGCGGCATTTTCTGTGATTAATAGTGATGCACCCAGGGGCCTCTCTGCACTGTCCTGGAGAAAACTGGGTAGCTGCCAGCAAAAAGAATAAAACTCTCACCCCTGTTCCTGGAACAGGCAACTACTATTAATCTCCCTTTAATAAGAAAAAAAAGAAGAAGAAGAAGAAGAAGAAGAAGAAGAAGAAGAAAAGAAGAGCAGTTTCTATTTCCTGGAAAGTGGAAGGAGAAGTATTCTAGAAAGTTCTGAGCTTGTCTAGAAGCTTGATCCTATCCAGATGGCATTCCTACAGGGCAGTACCTCCTGTACATCTTATCTCTTAAGCTCCAGCAGGAAGCTTTTTCTGTGAGAATAAAAAGCGCAGTTGGGATTTATGGACATTAAATAGGCCCTTGAGGGAAGGAGGGCTTCAGTGACTCAAAGCAGCAGGAACAGATAAATGCACACACAGGCAAGCAAAACCTCGAGCTCAGATTATTTACTGGAGGGCAAATGGGTAAGCCGGAGTCAGGAACACAGCTAACTGACCCACAACAGACTCTACTTTACTCATTTCTTCCTTCAAATATGTCTGCGTTGACCTTATATCACTGCAATCTCAGTTTTGGTCTCCCGAGGCTGAGGCCCACACTGCAGCCTGTACTTCCTGGCATCTCAGTGCTGGGCACCTAGTGACCGTCCCCTGCCAGGGCATTTTCTGGCATCAGAGCTACCCCAGTGGGCCCAGGGTCCTGGTGTGCTGGTCTCAGGTCAGCACGAGGCTGCGGCTGTCTGATAGCAGTCACGCTGCAGCGAGCCCAGCTTTTCCAAGTCAGGCTCACTCTGGAAAACAAAAGCTGCGCCTTCAAGGCAGAGAGCCAGCCTTGCCATCACCACTGTGTGCAAGCCCTGGCCCCAGCCGCTCATGCCATGAATTCGCTGACCTCCCACAGGCAGGCTCCCACCCACAAGGACGAGCCCACCTCCCTGGCGGGCAGCTGTGGTCTGCTTCGGCCCAGAGTCAGAGGGCTGTGTGTGGTGACCTCTCCAGAACTTCCCAGTCATGTGATTCTATTTTTGAAAATGAATCAAACCCTTTAAAAAAGAAGAAGAAGACGACGACGAAGAAGAAAATTGTGACACCAGCCACCCAGACATCTGGGAATTGGCCGTGTCTCATCCTGCAAATATATTTTTAAAGGGGCCCTTTGTGTTCCTGACACATGGCCAATTCTGAGATAGTGATGTTTACAAAAGAGATCATTGCTACGTAAACAAACATGCTCAGCAGCTGCACAAATGTGCGTTAAAATAGTAGAGCATTCATCTAGACTGTTATTTATGGAGGGCCGCTTGGCCTGCAGGCAGCCACGCGGGGCTGGCCCGCTGCCAGGGCGCCTTTCGGGTGGGTGAGCGGCCATATTTACCCCCATCACGAGGCGCCTGTGACAGGAGCCCCTTCCAGCGCCTGAGCAAGAGGCTTCATTAGGATGAGTCCTCAGCACGCTTTTCATCACACTTTTTATTAGGGAAGCCGTCAAACATAGATGGCAGGTCAGGCTCTGTCCCCCTACTCCATCACTAACCCCCCATCATATCATTGTAGCAACAAGCACTTCTGTGTGTGTCTCTGAAGGGGAGTGACCTGTTTTAAAACATAGCTGTAGCATTATGGCACCCGGGTAATGGATCGTTTCTTAAGAGCAAATATCTACAGCGTGTTCACTTGCGATTATCCCTTACAGTAAGCGTCTTTTTTTTTTTTTTTGTCTTTGTTCTCTTGTTTTACAAGATGCCGATTTGAACTGGGATCCCAAAGAAATTAATACATTGGTTGGCTGCAGTCTCTTCTAGACCTCTTCCTCTATCCATCCTCTTTCCATCTCTGATCTTTTTGTTCTCTCTGCTTAATTTTCCTCAGAGAAATCAAGATTTAAATACTACTGAGGAAATGAAAAGTAGCAATGTAGCAAGAACTTACTAATGAAAAGTAGCCATGGAGCAAGAATTTACTAGATAACTCTTTTCATAGAGTCCAAATGTCACTGTTTGTGGGTTACTGGAAGCATATACACCCAGAAATACATGAGGAAGCCGGAAGTGGGTGAAAACCAACCTTCCTTCCCCACGGGAAAGCTGGGTTACGGGGCTTGACCAACACTCACGGAGAGTCTCATCTGTTATATCACATGGAAGGAACCCCCACACTCTTATGTTATAGATGTGGACATGGAGGCCACTCAAGCCTCATGACTTGGCTATCAAATAGCCCCTGGGAGAGCAGGGACTTGGAGCCCAAGGTGATGATGACCAGTGCTCTTGGCCTCAGAGTTCTGTTGGTTCATGAAGATTCTATATACCAATGTGCCCCTCAAAGACAGCTGGTACTTCATGTGAAAACAGGCTTTCTTCTCTTTTCTCTCACTATTAATTCCTCTTTTTCTGTAAGGTTTTGCTATTGTTCTCCTATGCTATCGATGTGTTTTTAATGCAGTCACACAAAGTTTTAACAAATGTATATTAAAAGGAGATGTGCTACAAAACAGTTCTGAAATTGAAATTAGGTGAGCGTCGTTGTCTACAAAAATACCCAGAAGACGATGGTCCGTCATATCTGATTTCCAAGTGCCGTTTTTCTTTGCTGTAATGAAAATACCACTTTGCTATAATCGGAGACAATATGAGATCACAGGATTTGAAACTGGCATTTCTCAGATAAGGTTGTTGAGGGTTCACTTCAGAGCCCTCCTGAGCTATTTCTAATAATGATGTTTCACAGCTATTACATGCTTTGACTCTTATTTTCTCCTTTTGATAAATTACCACTAATCCCTCTATTAGCAAGCCATTATGTCAGGATTTGCTATTTTTCCCTCAAGAGCTATAAACTGCCCCCCCCCATAGCTTGGGAAAAGAGTTAATTGATGAGAACTGAAATGCTAAGGACTTAGCTAAAAATCTCCTGGCAAGTGATCTATAAAGAGTAATGAAAAGATTCAAAGACAGTTGAATTTTTTTCCTACTTATACCATCCATCAACATCAAGAATTCCAACTATCCTTCCTTCTTTGAACATTAGCTTCAAGGTATTTATTTAGGACTTCCCTCTAAAATGTCTGCCTCCACATAATATCTCCTGGCGGTATCATAGGCTGGACAGAAACTGAGAATAACTGCTCCCCGTGTGTGGCAAACGTCTATGACCTTCACAGTTTGGGCACTGTGTTCTGGTTTACCATATTCCCAGTCTGGGGGTGGAAGTTATACCAAATAGAGTTCTATACATTTCTGCCACTTCTCTGAAAGGAAAAATATTATACCTCTGA